TCTGTCTCTACAGTTGCCTCTCTAAGCATGGCCCTCCCACGAGTCTTTGCAAGCTCAGCCTCCCTGAGCGCGTCCCTCTCGTGGGTCGCCAAGACCTTAGTCTCAAGCTTAGTTGCCCTCTCATGAGCCTCAACAAGCTCATCCTCTCTGAGCGAGTCCCTCTCACGGATCACCAAAATCTCAAACTCAAGCCTGGTTGCCCTCTCATGAGCCATTACAAGCTTAGACTGAGAAATCCTACTAGCAGCTTCAAGCTCGGCAATCCTCTCCTCGGCAGTCAGAAGCTCCTTTTGCACAGCGTCATGATCTAGCTTCAGCTTGCTGTGAGCGTAAGCCCTTGAAAGCAAGTAGATTGATGAGGTCGAAACCAGAAAAAGATAAAAGATAAAGAAAGGTCAAATGCATAAGAAAGGACCAAAGAAAGGGAAATAGCAAACCCTTACTTGAGCTAGGCCTTCCAAATATGTGTTGACAATCCTCTCGGTACCCAAAGTACTAAGCTGAGAAACTTTGGGTCCAAACACAAACCTCTCAAATCTTTCCCTGATGACTGGCGGTCTCCCCATCATGGGACCAGACCAAATCGGCACCCCAGTAGAAGTTCTTGCATGAGGAGGGGACGAAGGAGGGCGGAAGGTGTGCTCGCCAAGGAAGACTCTAGAGTAGCAACGGGAAGAGTCACAGGCTGTGGAGGCACCGCCGTAGGAGTCACTTGGGGGGCATCACCCATCCTCGCCACCTTGGAAGAATGAGTGTTCCTACTAAAATAGCGGGACATTACCACTCTTTTACTTGTTACGAAAATAGTAAAGTGTCATGTAGATAAAAAATACCAAGTGGAGGAGAAAATTAAATCAACTCACTCTTTTTCTTTGAAGAGGAGCCACCAGACTTTGGGGAATGAGTAACAACTCTAGCATCCTTGGGTAAAAGAGCTCCCAAATCTTTGTCAAGGCAAGCCTTCACGGCCTGCAACTTCCACTCTTGATCTTTGGAGAGCACAGGCATGTCTGCAAAGGGATGATGAGCATACATGCATGTAAAAAAAATGGAGCGAATATGCGGCGTACCGGATTTTCTAGCAGCACCCCCACCGTATTGGTACCAAGGCCCTATCAACTTCTGCAGCCCATTCCCTGCAAACGAAGAAGAAGCTAGATTTTTAGCTATGGCAGTTGGAGCGTAATCCTGTGAGCACTGTGCCGCTTCTTGTGGTAAAATAGTACCACCCTCTATTTGGTGCAGGAGTCTCGCTCAAGTTATAAGCTGCATAGAGCTCCACCGGAGAAGCATCTTCATGATGCACCTTCCTCCATAAAACAAGAAAGGCTAACAAGACTCTTCAACCATTAGGCGCTAAACGCCCCAAAGTCAAGGAAAAGTAATAAAGAATGTGACAAATGGGAGGAGACATGGAAAATTTGAGCCCTGCCTCAAGCATCTCCTTATAAACGGCAATATCACAAGAGGAATCGTAACAAGCTAGCTCACCCATCTCAGCCCGACAACATAACACGATCGGAGGAATACGATAAGTGGAAACAAGCCTCAAAATGTCTTCATCCGAATTGAACAAACTGGAAAATGTACTTACCTTGGACCCATTGTCATCAAGTACACATTGCCTTTGCGTTTCTTACTACGAGGACGCAAGGAATGGCTTGAGCCACCCCTTAAGAGGTCTTAAGGAATGTGGGTTTGAAAAGTTACACTCGACGGAGTCAGATCATCATCACCAAAATCGGCGCCCAAAACTTCCTTGTCGTCTGTAGTGTTCGACCCAACTCGTGGAGAGGTGTCTGACACCCTATGCTCGTCCAAACGAGGTAGCCCAGCACCTGGAGAGGTGCCTGACCACCTTTGCTCGCCTAAACGGGGTAGCCTAGTGTTTCATGTCCCTCCAAAGTTGCACAAATCAGCATTTTTGGCACCCAGATCATCCCCCATAGCATTTTTGGTGCCCAAGCTATTGCCTAGCTCGCCTGCTGCACACCTGCTGGCCTGGGTAGCCCCTTTTTTGGCATGCACGCCCCTCACGTTACTGCCCAGCCCACCTATTTGCACGCCCCTGCTGTCCAGCCCGCCTGTCTGCTCGCTCCTACTGCCTAGCCTGCCTGTCTGAGCACCCAAGCTGTCCAGGACAGCATTTTTGACACCCAAGCTGTCCAGGACAGCACTTTCGACACCCAGACAGCCCCCTGCACTCCTCCTAAAGCAAGAAAACTCCTCAAAATGGCCCAAACCAGGGCCTAAAGTGGCGCCTAGTTCAGCACCTAAAGTGGCGCCCACCACCTCCCTTTCTTCAATCTCCACCATTTCAATGAAACTTTGCACATCTCCCTCCTCATTCGACATTACCCACTTGGATACTCCACTCAAAAGGAAGAAATCCTACCTATATATATATTTCTTGGAAAGATTCAAGAAGAGCACTCTTTTCCCCTCTCAAGGTCTTCAAGAATGGGAGTTCAATCTCAAAATGAATGAAATGGGTAGAACTCAGGCTCCCAAAGTTTTCAAGAATAGGTGTTCAATCTCAAGGTGAAAGAAATGGGTGGAATGAAGAAGAAGGTTATATTTATAGCCTAGGGTTTTTTAAGAGGGAAAGGCCCAAATTGAAAGTTATGGGCTCTCTTAAAAATCCAAGCAAAAGTGGAAAAAACTTGGGGTATGCACCAAAGCAAAAAATGCATCGTGCAAGGGAAGAGTCATCTAGCAAAAGGAGTCTCTAACATTTAAAACTCAAGATGTAAGCTAATGCACCCCTCTTCAAGTTTTCTTGGACACAGGCCATTGGATGGTAAATGATGGGTCAAGCCTAAATAGCCCAATTTATGTAGAAAGCCCAATTTCAATTAAAGTGTTCAACCTTATAAGGATCCACCAAGCCCAACATGGTCCAAGTTCATTCAAACTTATCAGCCTCGCTACGTCATCAAGAGAAAAAGAATGGGAGTCTTACCTGCACCGCCGAGGAAACAGTCCACCCTCACCTCATTCTTGACCACGTCTTATGGAGAGCACCTCAACCACCTTGTCCGTTGAGAAAAAATCGTGAGCTCCACCAAAATAGTTGCTTGGTTGCCGTAAAATAACCTCAACCTGTTAGGGGACCACTATAAATTGCACACATCAGTAACACTTGGGGCATCACACTTTTACCTGAACATGATTCTTTCTTCTCCCTCAAAACTTGTACTCTCTGCTCCCTGCACCTTTGAGCTAATAAAGTACCCGGCGACCAATGCTATTCAAAAGTGGACGTAGGTCACGTTGACTGAACCACTATAAATATTGTCTCCTCCATCTCTCTTTACTTTTAAGTACTGCATTTATTAATCACACTTGACAGATGGTGTGTAAAGTCATTTTGTGCATCAGCACATGTTATGAACTATTTTTTAGATTAAACCATTTGGTTTGATGGGCTGGAGAAATCTGATTATGAGAAATTATGATGTTTGTATGTCTAAGTTTGATTTACTAGACTTATATTTATGTTATAAATTATTTGACTTCCAAAACTATTTTGATTGATTAAGATTGAATAATAAATTATTTTCAATAAATACTGCTCACCGAGGAACATAATAAAAAATCGAGAGATCAATAGATAAATAATTACTTAGTTACATATGTTGAGAAAGAATTTTCAAATATTAATTGTGAAAACTTGTTAAAATAATTATGAAAATTGTTAAGAATTTGGATTTTTTCATATATTAAATTAATTTATTATTTGGCACTATTTTTTGATACAAAAATATTTGTTTGGTATAACTTTATGATTAAATTTTTTGTTAACTCTTTTTATATATTACTTGTATATGTTTTACGATGAAACTATACATTGTAAAATAGTATTAACACCCGAGTTTGAGTTAGCCCCACTACACTTGGGGGTTGTTTGGTATGTGGGTTTGGGGGGCTTGGGAACATGGGTTGGGGAGTAAACTCCCTTAAACCCAAGTTTGGCAACCATGAAGTATAGATAGGATTTCAAACTCGGGCCGGTCATGAAACTCACATACTTGGGTTTCATGAAACCCAGGAATAGTGGGTTTCATTTGTGGGTTTGGGAGTTTAACATACAAATGACATTTATACCCCTATATATCCTATGTACCTCATATATACAAATTGGTTAAGGGGCACAATAGTTATTTATATACAAATATATTATCATAATAGTTATATATTTCTGTACATATCAAATATGGGTATGGACAGTATTAAATATTAAATCATATCTTTGAATATCATTTTTGGGTCAAACCCGGGTTTGGACAATCCAATCCAATTCCCTCCCAAAAAACAAAGGCCTTGGAGCTTGGATTCGTGCCTGGCTGCTGTAAAAGTAGGAGTGTCAATCGTATCGGATTAAACGGGTGATGGGTGAAAAATATACAAACTCATACACGATACGTTTAATAAATAAGTAAAAAATTTTAACACGAACACGAACCGTTTAATAAACGGGTAATACGACATGACTCGTTTAACCCATTTAAAAATAAAAAAATAAATTTATTATTTTAACAAATTTTTACACTTCATTTTTTTTTCTTCCAAGTGTACTTTCCTCAATTTGAAAAATTTCATCTAACGCCAACTGCCAACAACCATAACCAACAATCATAAGTCACAGTCGATCAACTGAAAAGTAAGAGGCCCACTACCCTTTTTATAGATAACCAAAGCTCCATCTCTTTACTATGGCGACGTTGGATTTAAAAAAAAGACAATTCAATGCTTTAAATTGATTTTTTTATTTTTTTTTAAATGATTTTTTTATTATTTTTTTTTACTCATTCATTATTTTATATGTATATAAAATAATTATTAATTTATTATTATATTAAATTTATTTAAACGAGTAAACGGATACGATCCATTTATTAAACGTGTTTAACAAATTAACTCATTTAGCAACCAAATCCGTTAAAATTTCGTCCAAATCCACTTAATTTGTGGCGATTCCTGTCGTTAAACAGTCCGGGTAGAATGAATGGAAGACCCACGAGCCGGAGCGCAGTACATGAGAAATCGGAGAGATGGAGCAATCGGAGAAAGAATCGATCAGATCAGCGACCGAAGAGGTTTCTCGTGAATTCAAAACCCTAGTGAATTCTCAGGATTTGGATTCTCTCAAGCAATTGCAGCACCTCATGTACTCTCTCTCTCTCTCCTACTTGGATTTGCCAAATTTCATTAATCCAAATTTTGAGTTAGTTTGTACTTGTGAGCTGCTTGAGGTTGGAATGAGGATGGTAAATCCTGAATTTGGATCTTCTCAATTTTGAACTTTGCTAGATTGGGACTTGGATTCCACACAGAACTCACAAAAAAGTGATTAAGATCAATATATTGCAATCCGGACCATAGCCTAGTGCAAAGGCGAAATGCTCGGTGTAGGAATGACAATTTATGGTTCTACTTTTAGGGTTGCCAATTTGTGAGTATAGCGAGGAAGGTTGGGTCTGTATATAGGTCATCCTTTATAAATTGTAGCACCCTCGGTTTATGTGACAACTGCTTCTCTATCCAGGCTGGGTCTGGATACAGACTAGATTGATGAAGGAAATTCTTTCAATATCATTTTCTGTTTTGAAGTAACCGGGCTATTCCCGGCCTTTGTATTTGCAGGGGAGGCGTGGCATGTGATCATGCAAGTTTGCTTTTAGAGAGATTTGGCTTGTCTTGGGTTGTGCTTGGTTTGTGAAAGCAATTAACCAGTGGGAACTTGGCATCTGTAGACCTACACTTGTTGATGAATGGAAGCATAGAACTTGGTTTATGAGCTACAAAGCACAAACACTCATTAGGATTGACGTAACCTTGTAAGATACCGTATCAGATACGACCTGTCGGATACGATACTCGCACAGTAATGTTGTTCGTGGTCTAGATGAAACTTCAATCAAATGACTTTAAGAGTGCAACTTTTGAACATATTAAAGGATAATTTATCTGCAAACTCATGCTGTTGAATCTATGCAATGGGTATTTTATATGCACATCACTTTTCTTGCCAAATGCTTGCCCCTGAAATGGTTTTTCTGTTACCATCCTTCTTTTATTAGTTACTACATGCCCATTGCTGCATTCCTTAGCTGCTATGTGCCTTTTGTTCAAGTATAGTAGTTGCTACTGAGATTTGATTTTTTCCTCAAATAATTTAACATTAGGATGAATATGGCTTTCTGTCAAACAGAAGTAAGTTTCACCTTTTAATTGAGCTTTCCTATGGGAAGCCACTGTGAAAATTGGAGTTGATCACTGGGTAATGACTTATTCAATTTTTCACCTATTCAACCTTAAGCCCTACGGGAAATTTACTAGACAGTGCAACATGTGTATTTGTTACTACATCAAGTGTTGACTACCTTAGTGTCATATTTCTTGTTTTCAAAATATTGTTGCTTTAGTGTTTATGACACATGCCTGGACAAACATCTTGCAGTCAAGGATCAAAACTTTGTTTAAAAAAGGTCAAAATAGCCGAAACGTTTCCGTTTTCAAAGAGACCGAGTGATTGAATCGAAATTTCAATGCTTTGAGGTATTCAGAATAGTTCGAGGTGTTTTGAGATGTTTCGACCAATGTTTCAGAATATTTCGAGATGGTTCAATTTCAACCATATTTCAGAATGTTTTGAAAATAAATACCAATTTTTTTTATCTATTTCTGAAGCATTTATGAGACGTTTCAAAATGTTTTCGTTTTCTAGTTGACTGAAACAATGCACCAAAAGAAAATCTTGATCAACATCACATGTAGCTTTCACATGGCCCCTTGTCTAGCAAACAAAAAATATAGGAGAATAAGTGCAAGACTTGAGTTTAGGATCTTTTGGATATGAAGTGTTAAATTTAAGTTAGAAAATCTCACTGCTTCAGAAGTTTGAGCTATTGGCACAGGGTGTCACAATATTTGTGTTACTCTTCCCCTCATGATTGGCCTCACTTGAATGGGAAATATAGTTGAACAAATTATACAGAGTTGACGAGGTTTAAATGCATGAGCTCCCTCCAATTTCATATTAACCATTAGCTATTTTCAAAGCTTAAGTTGTTAGATAGAGCCAAACATGTAAGCTCTTAGGATACAGGTTGATTATTGAAATGGTAATGAAAATGCATGACCTTTCTCCAATTTAATATTGTCCATTAACCATTTTCAAAGCTTAAGTTGTCAGAGAAGGCCAAACAGTGTAAGCTTTTAGAATACAGGTTGATTAAAATGGTATTAAAGTAAGAATGTTCTGCATTGAATCCTTTTCACCTCCGTGATAATATGATGTATTCATGAGAGTCCACACATGTGGTGGACTTCTTCTATAGCAACTTAACCATGCAGAGCAGTTAGTGCTTGATAATACCCATGAACTAGAAATTCTGAATGTTCTGGATCTTGTATGATATGCCATTTGGCTTCAGTATTTTGGCAGCATCAGTTGCTTACTCTGGATAGCGCCTCAAGCTTGGTGACTGATTTTTTTATACTGTATTTTTTACTTCTTTTGTGTCCTTAAATTGCAGATTGGGAAGGTTGCAGGATAGCAATGCAGTCCTTTCACATTTTAATGAGTATTCAGAGCATTGCTTTGCAGAGGTTTCCAGTGACTTATCGAGGAATACACGTCTTTTGAAATCTATGAAGTCAGACCTTGACTACATATTTCAGAAGCTGAGGTGCGCTTACTTCTTATTCTTGCTCAACTTGCAATTATAGCTGATAGGTACTGCTTAATATTTGCAGTCCCTAGGATGAGAGATGTATCATTATGTTGCTGTTAGGCAGTAATTGCATTGGATATGGAAAGATCCTAGCATGCCTATATTACCCAATTACAAAATGTGCAGTTCATTGTTTGTTTCTTTGAAATTTGCAAGTGTTCAAATTCCAGCTTGATCTGTGTGCTGCATATGGTTTATGTTCTGGTTATCTGTGCATCAGTCCCATGTGATTACCCCAACAAAAGCTAGGTTACATCTGTGCCTGTCTACAAGCTTCCTGTTCGGTCTCGTTGTTAATGGTATTAAGTGGATGCTATCAACTTACTCTAGGATCTTTTCTCATTTCCAACACTCAACCATTGAAAATCAAGTTGTCTATTCCATTTGATGTTAACTTCCTAAAAAGTTTCGAAAAGCTGAATCAGCTATTCATCGCATAAGATTAAAGCATAGATGCCAGAGTATAAATCTAAAGAAACAAACTACATGCAAGGGGGGCCTTCATATACAAATATTTGAAGAGCTCACTTGGTGGAATCTGGCATGCTGCCCTATGTACTCCGTGGCTTCCTTGATATAAAATTATGTCTTCAAGAGTTTTTCAAGTAGAAAAAATTCCTAAAGATTTCTGCTTTGGGTTGGAACAATTGAATGGTTTTTGGGGTTCTCCTCTAATCTGTCCTGTTCGGATAAGGATTTGAAATCCATTATTCAAATAACCTGGTTTGATTGAATAACCTGGTTTGATATTTATCAGAATCATGAAGTCCATCTATTCTTGCTGAACCAGTTCAATACTTTTGGAGAACTATGTACCTTCTCTCCTTTTTAATTTCTTTTTATAAACCTTGTTGAGAACCTATCTACCTTGATTTGGGGCATAATTTCTTAGAAATTCTAAAAAATCAGAAGTATTGGTATCTTTTAGATCTTGTTCCATATTTGGTAATATCTCCCAATCTAGTAAATGTACTTTGCGGGCCTCTTCCCTTGTAACCAAATAGGTTTCCATTGCATGTTTTAAGTGGTATTGGAGCTGGGTTGGGGAAGGCTGGGGTCAAACCTCAGTTGTTTGTTCCCGGTCTACTCATCATGTTCAACATTTGTGTTCACTTGAGTTTGATGGTAGTGCGGTATGATTGTGTATTTCTGTCTCCACATGTGATTGAGGATCGAATATGACTCGCTTGTGTCATGTTGTCCATATCACATTTGTAAGAGCTTCCAAGCTAGTATATGAGCCTGATGGGTCTATCCATTGAGTTGAATGCTTTAATAGCATCCATCATTAATCTGGTCAGTAGTTTTTAATCTAACTAGATGTTGGCATACATCTTTAACCCTTTATTTCCTTTCCTCTTATGACATATATTATCCATATGACAGCTTTAGATTTGTTACTCTCCTTCTTTCTATGTCATGCCCTTTTTCTGTTGCTCAAGTTACAATTGATGGGCAAGTTAGATTGATGTTCCCCATTTTGAATTTTCCCTAGATATAGTTGAACATTAGCTCAATATAGTTCACGGGTTGAACCTTGTTCATTTCTTGACTTCCTATTGGGAACTTTCGTTTGGATATAATCACAGTTTGGTAATCTGGCTTTTTTGTTTTTTTCTGAATTATTAGGAGTCTGAAGGCAAAGATTTTGGCCACCTATCCAGATGCATTTCCAGATGTTTCAACAATAGAAGCACTTGACCGAAGACCAGACCTTGAAATGCCACAGTGACTTTAGTACCATGCATCTTGAAATAGTAATAATGGACCCTTGTCTTCTACTTTTTCCCGGCTATTTTTTTTCCCCGAGTTTTTGCTGAGTGCGGCATTGAGAATTGAGGTTTCATGTGGTCCCGAAACTATTGTACCACTGCAGCCAATGGACAATCAGCATCTTCAGCCGAGGTGGTGAATGCCGGATGTATATCACCACCAGCACGTGTACTTGCAGGATACGAGGGCTTCAACCCAAAGCACGCCAGTGGGTTTGCCTTAACATCATGCTTGAAATTTTCAGGCACCCTTTTTTGAGCTTTCCAAATACCTTTCAGAAACAGTCTTTTTGATGCAACCATGCCTGAATCATAATCGCCTCTTTTGCTATATAAGCTTTTATTTTTTTGAAAAGAATATATAATGACCTAAATCCTCAACCTCACCCCCCCCCCCCTTCCTTTTTTTTTTTTTTTTTTTCCTTTTTTTTTAAGCAAATTGTGCTTCTTTTGGCTTGACATACAAGCGTATGTACGTTATGTAATTATATTGCATTGGGAAAGCTTTTTTCTTATGGATTAAGAAATGTCTTACAGGTGTCTCGTTCCTAGTTCCTCATCTTTTTGGGTGGAAATGAGGTGTTTACCAAAAGATTTACTCAGACTAATTCAATCATACACATTGATTTGGTAAACATTTTGATATCATTACTCATTTTTGGGATGGTATGTAATTCAGTCAGCAAAATCCCATGTGCATTCTGCTTCTAGATTGAGGAAAAGGATAATGTTATGTTTATTAAATTTTTTAATCAAATTTATATCCCAAATGATGTAATACAATTTTTCACCATCAAATAAATAGATCTCATTAATATTTAATGACAGAAATTGTGTTACATCATTTAGTATGAAAGATTTTGTAAATTTTTTTTGGTAAGTATAGCATTTTCCCTAGAAAAATTGTGTGGGAGAGGTTCAATCCATATCACCTCGAAGATGCCGTGCTGCATGTTTGAGTGGATAATTGTCCGACTGAACTTCAGTCCAAATAACAAAAAAAAGAAGACTACGGCACCGAAAACAGGTTTAGTTAGAATACCTTCGCTTTTCATCCAAAGCCAAAAGTACTATGTACTCAACAGACCACAACAAAGCCTTCACAATGTTATTTGGTGGATAAATGAATTCTATTTGTTAAGGGCCCAACAAACGTACATAACAAGGATGTCGCTGCAAGAATAGGATAATGGTAACTTCTGTTTCCAAATTCCAGTTAATTCATAATCACAGCTTATCAATTAATTTTTCAAAAAGAAGGGGTAAAAATATGATACAAACAGTCTAGAGAATCCTTGGCACATAATGCACTCTGGATCAAATGGCAACAGCTGATTGATATGTGATGTCTTGTATGCGTCTAAGTGAATAATAGGTAGGTTTATGCCACCCAAACAACGGCCTTGCCGATCGGTTTCCCAAGCATTACATTCACTCCTCTTCAATTTAAGTCCTCAAAGTATTTTGAGTTTGGAAATCCTCCTAGGGGAGTAATTTTGATAAGATTGTGTCTCACTTACCTCTTTCAAACTCGGTAGCAAGGGAAGTCTACCCTGGGTATAACTTTATCCACTCTCATTTCACTTTGCTCCCTTTAGAGCCACCATAGTTGGTAAGAAAACATCAAGAGCATCTACAATTTTTTGGTCTCAGCAGAGGAAGCATTAGACTACTCCATCAAAAAATGCACAACTAAGCCACAAACCACAGAGTTTGTAAAGTTGCTGCCCAGTACCAACCCTTGCAACAATTAGCCCAATCAAACTAGTGTTTTTTAATTAGAGTTAAGATTTCAGCCAATGGCCTAGATTGAAAAACAAAATAACACACACCAAGTTCCAGTGTCAACAAAAGCATAGCCAAACTATTAAACTATCACAATGCCATCATAATTTGATATTCCTAAAGGATGTATTATCACCTTGCATTTTAAACTTCCAATGTTTTTTCAAGTAAAGTCAGGAGTTTCCCCGGGGCATTGGAGCCAACTCATTCTTGTTGAACCTCTCCCCTTGCATTTGAGACTTCCACTGCTTTTTCAAGTAAAGCCAGGAATTTCCCCGGGCATTGGAGCCAACTCATTCTTGTTGAACCTCTCTACATCATAAAAACAGGCACGAACCACCCTACCCGCAAAGAAACGGCCGTCAAGTTCAATAATTGCTTTAGTTGCTTCTTCTGATCTCTCAAACTGCACAAATATTCGGACTGCCTCCTCAGCTGGGAAATTTGGCTCGGTTATCTCAAATATTAGGACTCGAGTTACTGTCCCAAACTTGGTACACTCTTCTGCTACCTCACCTTCTAGATCATCATCTACCTCACCAGGGCCAACCTTCGGGAAGAAAGCACAATAATGCTTATTCAATCTAATTCACTAGCATAAAGCTTCCAGAGAACACAAACCAAAGACAACTTCAATGTTTAATAGTTTAGTGCTGAGGTTTATGACTTGGAGAAAGAGAAATAGGCGACAGTCATAAATAACCAATTCTTATATGAAGAACTAATCAGCAACACCGGCTTAGTGCGTGAAGTGCATACAACTTTAGCCATACATATGCACGCAAAAGCTTGATATTAAGCATTGTTGTAGAGAGTATGATATGTATCTGATATTTTTACAGTACTCATGCCTCAAGCTTCAGACTCGTGTCAAAGATGCAAAGAATATGAAAGTTGTAACCAATAAAAATGACATTAGTACAATAACCAAAGTCTAATACTGGGATTCACTCCTATAAAGCACAATTTTATGTTACTTGATTACCATATGATGCATGCCAGAATACTCTACAACGCAATCTGCTGTGACAGATCTAAATAAAGAATAACTAAGAGATAAAGTAGGAAAAAAACAGAGATACTATCCTCAAAAATATGAAAGTTGACAAATAGTGACACACCTACAAAACAGATTATTAAACACCTATATAACAGGTTGAGATTTGAATTCCAAAAATTCTTTAATGAGTTAAATGCCTTATCATGGAACAAGAAGCTGGTGTATTCTATGAAGAGAGTAAAGGCGTAGATGATTACTGTTCAATTTGCTCAATGAGAAAACATAAATGCCTTGTCCACCATCTATGTACCTACAATTTTGTCCAACTAGAACTGAAGAGACAGAGTAGGCATGCATGTGCAATGCCATCATGAAGTGATGGCCACCATATGTGCAATAGAATTGATCGCACAAGGGTTTTGCGATTTTTCAAAATAAAGGGCATCGTTTTAATGTTCCCCACAAATCTTCGGCTCTAATACTGTCCTAACTCACCCCTCCCCATGATATCTTCAAACATATGACAGGTTAGAAACTGTTGTTGATTTCTGATAATGAGAAAGAAAGACACATAAAAACAAATGAAAAATTGGGGAACGATGAAAGAAGGGAATAGGAAGAGAAGAGGGAAAGGGGGAGGGGGGGTGGATGTTGGAACAAGGGGATAGTATAGAAGAGAGGAAGGGTGCAAGAGTGGGCTCCAAGCTTCTCTCATATAGTTGGTGACAAGATAGAGAGTGAAATCAGTGCTAAATTAGGTTCCAAATATTTTTCTTCAAATTATAATTATCTTTGTTTGGAGGCTGATGTAGCATTGCACCAGTGATGCTGATTTATTAACTTCAAAATTACAACATTTCGTACAATGTTTATATGCCTAGTGGATAAGGAGGCATGAAAAGGGCAGCATTTTTAGCCTTCTTTGAAATCAATAACTCCAAAAACCTTGAGGTGGATGAAGATTCATTTCCATCATTCGCTGCTCTTTGTCAAAAGCGATATGTACTTTATCAAAATTCTCATGAGTGTAACATTCCCAAAGTCATGGTTTTTTTTGGGTTTGGGGGATTCTGGGGAAACTTTTCCTTCGCCTTAGTCTAGTAACTGGGTTTATCCTTGATGTTCGATGGCTTTGGAGGGTTTGGTGTGTTGATGGCTTGATATTGCTTTAAACTATCTTTAACATTTCCTTTTTTTTTTCTAAAATAAAAGGCTTTCAGGAACTTCTCATCCTCATTCAACTAGAAGCCACAACGCCTACTCAAGTTGCTTATATCAAATCAAATATAATGCTCTTTCCCTTAGATTTCAAAAACTGTAGCATACCAGTTGAGCAACATAATCAATTTCCTATAGTAACCACATCCCAGAAAAATCAAATTCAAATCTCATATTACAAAAACATAATATTTAACATCCACTACAAGTTCAGCAAGATTAACCAAAAGCTTCTCAAGTATCAGGCATACCATATTTCTGAGCAACACTACACGAGTTGGTGGCCCATTGAAATTCACACTCTTGACCTTCTTCTCGGCCTGCTGCTTACCCTCACTCGCATTCACAATAACCCCAGCTCTCCTATCAGTCTTCTTTGCCATTAACGGCGTCGTAATCCCCTGCTCCTGCTTCCCCAACCCTTGCCCCTGCTTCCACCCCATCTTTGCCATCATCCTCTGCGCTGCCGTCATTGTCCCTCCCGCTCCCACCCCCAACCCCCCACTCTCCGACTTCCCAATACTAAATTCCCCATTCCCTGGCGGTGATGGCGACCTAGGCACATTCTGTGCCCCACCACCCATCGCCGCCCGTCTCCGCCAGGCTTCCTCACCGGACAAATTCAACTCTCTCTCCCTCTCCTTCTCTCGATCCTCCCTCTCTCTCCTCTCTTTCTCCTCCTCCTCTTGTCTCCTCCTCTCCAACTCTTTTCTCATCTCAATTTCCATTAATTTCCTCTTTTTCTCTCTCCGATACTCCTCGTAATCGTTCGGCCTAGCCGGATCGTACTCCTCGATGACCGTACTGGTGACACCCACCAACGCTGGTTGAAACGACGTCCGACCATTATCATCGGCGGTCGACGTCGAAAGTGGGGCCACCGGAGACGATGAAATTACAGTTCTGGGTTGGGATGAATTGAGGACCTTGGGCTTGGATTGGGATTTGAGAACGGTTTGTGGAGGTGCAAAAGAGGGTTTGCGGAGGGTGGGTGGGGCGAACTTAGCGGAGGAAGACCAGACAGCGGAGGAATTGGAGATGGGTTTTTCTTCGTCGGTGGAGGAGGGTGGTGGGAGGTCTCCATACAATCCACCCAGCATTGTGGAAGAACAGATTGCTGAAACAGAAATTGGAGGTTTTGATTTGGTAATTAGGGTTTTTGATTTGTGATTGTAAAGTATTGCTCCTAATTTCTATGGACCATCCGGTTGGAGGAAATTATTACATGCTCAGAATATTATCAGACTACGTTACTAAAATCAGTTTTTTAGGTGTTAATAATGTTACTCCTTGTACTAGAGTTAGAACTCGTGGAAAAGGTATTTTCATTCAAAAAATATTAGACCATTTCTCATCTTTATTTAAATCTATATTTATATCTATATATATATATATACTTAGAACATTTCTAACCATTACTTAGATGGTGATGATAAAATTAAAAATTGAAGTCTAAAAATTAAAGTTTGAAAGCTGAAAACTGAATGCTGAATTTGTGGACTATTTGGTATTTATTAAAATTTAAGTACTGAATTGAACTAAATAGTTTGATAACTACACAGAGCTGACGTCTAAAAATAAATTAATTTTTCAGTTTTACCCTTCCACTCTTTAATTTAAAAATATTTATAAAATATGTCATAACATAAATTATAATCACTATTATTATATTGTAATTTACATTTAACAAATATTTGATCAAAATAAATAAATAATATCTGAATAATGCAATTGGTGAACAATAACAAATTGAATAATATAATAAGTGAACAACAACATCTGATAAAAAAAAGAATAATAACTAATAAATAATCAAATAATATTAAAAAAATACAATAAATTAAATTTTATTAACAATATGTGTGTGCGTCGTGTGTGTGTGCAGTGCATATGTCTGTGTGTAATTGTGTGTGTGCATTGTGTGCAGTGCGTACATTTGTGTGTGTAATTATAATTGTGTATGTATATTTTTCTTACAGAAGACAAGGAAAAGGGAAAAAAAAAAAGATTGACAAGGAGAATATATAAGTTAGGGTTTTGAAGAGAAGATTAATTAGAGTTTTAATAAGATTGTAAAATAATCAGGGGTATAATTGTCATCTTTTAAATATTATTAAAGATGTTTTTGTTGAGGGCTTTCATCTTTTAGAATTAAATAAAAGATATCTTACTTAATATTGTAGCTTATTTTTAAGGAGCACTTAACATATTAAAGAGATTTTAAATTTTGGTTATCAAAAGTGCCCAATACATTCATTTTAAGTGCTAAATTTGAGTTAATAAACACACCCTTAAATTTAGACTTAAATTTGAGTAAATAGCTTGATTTTTGTATAGATTATTTTAATGGATAAACTCAAATATTTACTCAAATTTTTTTAAAAATTTCCTTATTGTCCCAAACTTATTTTTTTGTATCATTCAATCATATATTTGACAAAATAAATAAAACTTTTATATCTCTTCACAAATGGGTAAAATATAATTCTAAGGTTGTTATAATCCTTTATCATTTTTTATAAATTCAGATAAAGAAAAATAAAAATAAAAGAATATAATTATTTTTATAAATGAGCCTAGTCTGAAGAAAAAAAAACATATGTTTTTAACAAAAATAGAAGATTGAAGAATAAAATAATGAATTTTCTAAATTTGTATGTAATAAAGGTTTAAGATTTTAGGAAGAATCGGTGATCTGTAATTGTACTACTAGATAGTCAAAATAAAAGCAAAACTTGATGGGTAACCTTAGGGTTTATATTGTATGAAAAATGAGTGAAATTAGGGTTTTGAAAAATACAAAAAACTTACCTACAGACCTTCAAAAGCTTCGTTGGTGGTTGGCGATCGAAGCAGCATAGTAGAGAGATGCAAGAAATGGCAAAGAACAAGTCTTTTAGTTTTGAATAGACTAAAGAGTAATATTATTTAGATTTAAAAATCTAATCTAATTTATTAACATAATGATGTGGCTTCATAGGAATTATTGAATTAACACAAAATTTCAATGTTTGGTGGAACCTACAATCAATCCAAAAGTCATAGTAAACTAAGTCAACAAATTATGTTAGTAAATTAGGTCCCAATAGCATTGCCCTATGCTAAAAAATTACCATTAGAAATTTGATATAAAATTTGAATCTGCTTCAATTTGGGTCTAGAATAAGTTTTGTCTTGATTTGATATAAATTTGAATGCATGGTTGGGGAAGTTTTTTCGGCTATTTTGGCTCAAATAAAAATTTGAGTCTACAGTTAAGTCAAGTTTGGAGATGCTCTTATAAATATAAGCATTTGCAAAAAAATTTTGATTTTCTATTTTATCCTTAATTATTATAATAAAGTTAATTATACTCATCTATATATTTTCATCTAATTTTTATTTTTCACACTTGGTTAACTTTCAACTTATTTTGGACTCTGTTATAAGAACTTCTAAATTTTTTTAAACTCATTTATTAGTAATACAGTTACATACAATTATTTATATCTATATGAAGAAGTAAAGTCATATATATGTTAAATTATTATACACAAGTAATTACCTGTTTGAATTCTACATTCAAATATATGTTATATTTAATTTTTTGATATGAAATAAAATAATAATATTATAAGCGATCTAATCAATCTATTTAACAAAATAAAATTAATAATTTCATAATATAATTAAATATTCAAATGGTTAAAGTAATCGAAAAGATATCTAAATAAATGACAAATTAGTTACTTAAAAATTTATAAAATAAATTAATAATTAGATGTACTAATAATTAATTATTTGACACCTAATTTATTGTTTAATTATTTAATTTAACTACACATATAACTCACATTTTTTATAAAAATAATATTATTTAAATTTATTTATTTGCAACGCACGTCGTGCATTGTTAGTCATGACTCAAATTTAAATTTGTGTAAAAATATACTAAAAATAAGCTCCAATTTTTTATTCAAACTAACTCTAAATAAACAAAAAACCAGTTACCATGATTTTGTTACATGCACCTTTTCGGGAGATACATAAAACAAAATAAAAGTAGAATTGAGAGAAAGAGAGACCCCCTTCAAGGGATAGAAACCTTCGTTAGTTCACTTCAAGCAGAAAATCAACCTTTAAAATTTAACAAGAAAGTTCAATACAAAATCTAACATACTATTTCATTAATGAAAGTGTCTTCATATATATAATGATAAAACTACTTTAATAATTAACCTAATCCATCACAACAATGTAATTAACTATCTAAAAACTACCTATTTACCTCACACCACTAATCCACTTAACAAATAACTTCTTAAACCTAACTCTAAATTACATATGTAATTAAAAAAAATGAGCAAGTAACATTTATTCCCACTTTAAATAAACTTTCACACCAAAACTTTATCGTGTACAAATGCAAGTATTCAACCTACTTCTAAATCCTCATAAACAATCATTGTATTTGGCTAAATAGGGTCTAATGAGACCCTCGACAATGGATAACAATGTTGGACATGGAATTCGTCATATTTTCAAAAATTGTAAGAATTATGTGACCTTGCAAAATCATTCTTTCGTGAGCTTGCAAAAGCTATTCATAGAACATTGGTTTGGATTCCTCTTCGATGATCTGAAATTTTTGCGAGGAGCTTTGTCCGAGAGGTAGCACTAGCTCTTATCGAATTGTGTATTGCATGTTTGCATATTGTGTATGTGATGTTTGAAAACACTATTCTCCCCCCCACCCCCCCCCCCCAAAAAAAAAAAAAAAAAAAAACAAAACAAAAACTTGACACGGGGAGCAAAATAGTACAATCTCAAGGCAAACAACTCATTTCTAAGCTCAGTACAGTTTCTTCATTAGTTCCAGCAATATCCTTTAGTCCATCTCCAAAAACACCCCAACTGTTGTTGCGCATTTACCATGGTGCAAATTGCATTGCAACTTTGCAAAATGGCTATGGCAGCCTTGAATGGAGACCTCATGTTTTAATTTGGTAAGGACCCACGTAAACACTTCAGTGTCTTCCATGAATTCACACTATACTAGTGCAACTCCCTCTAGATGAATTGATGCTAACGGGGCTTTTTCATCAGTGGTGGTTTGTTGAAATTCCAAGAATTGTTCTTCTCGACAAAACCAAGTGATGGTATCTTCCTTCTTGTGTTATCGCAGAAAATCCATCTTTATAATTTTGGAGATTATCGAGTTAGTTGAAAGTAGAATATAAGAGGTCAATATTTTTGCCACCTCCATTGCGCTAGGTTTACCTTTTGCCTTGCTCATGGCAGTGGCCTCGGTCGACTATTAATTGATCAAAGCGAGCATTCATGGTGAGAATCACTTTTGCATCTCCTACATTATCGTTTCTTATCCGACACTTAATAAGTAAACTTTCACTTCAAGTCAACTAAGTCGGTCTTCCATGTCCGATTTTTATACCAATTGTTATATGCACATTTTCGGAGATTTGTGAAACAAAAAAAAAATAGAATCGAGAGAAAGAGAGATCCGCTTCAGGGGGTGGAAACCTCTGGTGCTTCACTTCGAAGAGAACCTGAACTCCAACACTTCACCAAAAAAAAAAAAATTCAATACAAAGTCCAACATACCATTTGATTAATAAGAGTGCCTTTTACATACAAAATGATAAAACTACTTTGATAACTAATCTAGTTCATCACTCCTTAATGTAATTAAGTATCTAAAAGCTACCCATTAACTTCATACTAGTAACCGACTTAACAAATAACTTATTAACATTAACTCTAAATTACATATGCGATTAAATATAAAAAATACGCACACAACAATTTTTTATTCAAATTAAGGAAGGCTGAAATTTTATTCAAAATTGTAATTCTTAAATTGTGACGCCCCCTTTTTTGAGGGTCCTGATTAACCCGTTGAACACCCATTAACTCGTGGAATAACTTGTGATACCGCTTAACCCGATAACACGTACTAATACCCCATTCACTAGGGTTCATAAGTTTAATAAAATCTAGGTAGAGTTTCTTTTGTACGAGGATTTCTACCCAATACACAACCTATGCATTTATACAATACTAACTATGCCTAGTAAATTCATCAAAATTCAATCCCATAACATTGAATACTACCTATAACCATTATCTATGCATACATTCATTCATAAAAGAATAAATGTCCAAAATAGCCTCATATACATGCCTTAATTTAAAATACAAGTTTTGTTAAAAGAATTTATACCAGGACAATGTAATGGAAACAAA